TCACTGGTTAATTCTCTGGTTTCATGGTAACTTCCAAGGACTTCACTGGTTAATTCTCTGGTTTCATGGTAACTTATTTTATAAGGAAAAGATGTGCCATACCTACAGTTTACTACACAGTCAGAATGACAATACTAAATTAAACTTTAACTTATAAATACTGAAAACTAAGAGAGTGGTCAAACAAACCCAATGCCATAGGCATGTAGTAAGAATTAGAGAGTCCTAAGTGGTCAAAATATAGGTAGACCTTCAAGTTTGTGGAAAACACTTCTATTTTAAAAGTCTCATCACATTTCTATATCAGAAGTGTCTAGAAGAGGGGTTCTAAATCAGGGGTCACTTTTGTCTTGCTTCCTCCCCAAGAAGGAGTACATTAGGGATGCATCCTGTCTTTATAGCTTTTCAATCCACATGTGGAATAGATCATTAAGGAGGCTGGACTTTATAAGGAGGAATAGGACATCAGAATTGGAGGAAGTATCATCAATAAAACCTGCATTATGCAGATGACACAACCTTGCTTGCTGAAACTGAGGAAGACTCAAAGCATTTGCTGAAGAAGGTCAAGAACTTCAGTCTCTACTATGGATTGAAGCTCAACATCAAAGAAATAAAATAAAAGATTGTCACCACTGGGCCAAATGGCAGCACCATAATAGATGGAGAAGAGATTGAGGCTGTTAACAATTCCAGCTTGCTTGCCTCAACAATCAAGACTCTTCACACCAGCAGTCAGGAAATTAAAAGTCAAACTACACTGGGAAGACCTGCCATCAGGGACCTCTTCACAGAGTTGAAGAGCAATGATATCAGTTTAGAGGCTAAGATGTGCCTGCTTCAGGCCATGGCCTTCATAACTACTTACTACACATCAGAGAGCTAGACAACAACTAGGATGACAGAAGGAGGATGGGTGCCTCTGAGTTGCGGTGCTAGAGAAAAGTATTGAACATATCATGGACTGCTCATTGCAGGCAAGGATTCTGAAGCTCTGTCTCACACACTTTGGGCAAGTTGCCAGGAAGAACCAGTCCTTGGAGAAGGACATCATGTTTGGAAGAGTGGAGGGACAGCACAGAAGAGGGAGACCTTGGATGAGATGGATTGACACAATAACTAGGGATGCAGGGGGGAAGGATGAGATGGATTGACACAATAACTGGAGTTACAGGGGCAGGGGAAACAGTGATATTGGTTCGGGACAGGGCAAGGCTCAGAGCTATTGTGCATAGGTTTGCTGTGAGTCACAGGTGACTTGATGGCACCTAACAACAAACAACAACATCCTCACTGAAGAATGGCTGACAAACTTTGGAGGCATTTTTTAGCTATTACAGCTATAAAGTATTCTAATATATTATGGAAAGTAGTCAAAGATACTTAACTTGCTAAGAGACTGAAGTTGTTAACAATTACAGCTTGCTTGGCTCCACAATCAGCACTCCTGGCATCAGTAGTGATGAAATCAAAAGATTAATTGCATTGGGAAAATCTGCTCTCAGGGACCTCACTGAGTACTGAGAAGCATGATGTCAGTCTAGAGACTAAGGTGCGCCTAATCTAGGTCATGGTCTTCACAATTACTTGTTATGCATCAGAGAGCTGGACAAAGACTAAGGATGACTGAAGAAGAATTGATACCTTCAAATTATGGTCCTGGAGAGGAGTCTTGAACATAGACTGCCAAGAAAACAAACAGGTCTGTGTTGGAGAGGGTGAAACCAAGTTTCTCCTTGGAGGCTAGGATTTTGAAGCTCCATTCCACATACTGTGGGCATTTGACTGGGAGAGACTGACTGTGGGCATTTGACTGGGAGAGACTGGTCCCTGGAGAAGGACATCATGCTCAGAAGGGTGGATGGAAAGCACAGGAGAGGAAGACCCAGGATGAGATGGATTGATACAGTAACTGGGGCAATGGGGGTTGGTGTGTCAGAATCAGTGAGACTGGTTCAGGACAGGGCTGGCTGTAGAGCTGCTGTACATGGAATCAATACGGGCCACAAGCACCTTGATGGCACATACAGTGATGACAACAACAACAATTCACCAGAAGAGTCCCTCATAACAGAGAATTATGCAAGACAAAGACAAGTGATATCCTCCTGTGCAATTTACAACCTTTGAAAACGTAGTTGGAGGGTCAGCAATGAGTAATTTCCGACCTGATGGCAATGACTATTTGAAGTATTTTCTAAGCCACTCCTCACTGCAGGTGAAGGCGCCAGAGGTGGCCACTCATCGTTTATGACCAGGTACTATCTGAGACTGGCCACCAAGCTACCTCTTTAGAGTAAATCTGTTATCCTTGAGATGCAATCTATCAGGGACTACATGAGAGAAAATGCCCTTCCTCTCACACTGAGATATAATCTAGTTAATAAATGTTGTAACATTTTAATTCCAAAATACTGCACTGGCTGCATCCTAAATCCAATTGGATTCATGTTGGGAACAATACAGGATTCATGTTGGACAATTCAGCTATCATTAGATATTTTTTTCCTTTCTGAATCCCAATGCATTCACCATGATTTAAATTCTTGAGTTTATGAGTGGCATTAAACCACTCAGCTTCCTACCAAACTATCCTTTCTATTAGGCTGTATGTTCACAAAAATGAAAGAAAAATCAGTGTCTCTAAATTTGTAATGCTCAAAACTGGCTTTAAGGACAGACATGTAGACATGCTAGATTATTCTAAGAACACTCAACAAGAATATCAACGTATTTCTACAGATGGTTACACATTTTCACTGTCTATGTAGTCTTAATATCAGTTTAACCAAAAAGCTTTTTTTCTACTTCATTTCCCATTTGTTATTTGACTAGCAGCAACTCAGACCAAACAACCCAATAAACTAGCCACCTTTGCTCAAAGAGGTGTCATCTAATTACCCTGAGTTGGTAAAGGGACAAAATGCAAGCCCGAGGTACTAGAGGAATACAGGCTTGTTCACCTTCTAGTTGAGCTCATTTTCTGCGAAGGGAGTCTGCTATCTTCATTTGACCTCCAGATGACCATGACTTTTTCAATTCAAATGTGCAGCTTTGCTATAAATAAGACCGCAGAGCTGCTCAGGCTATAAATAACTAGAAATTATATGCTTTCTCCGGTCTGTTTGTACTAGCACTGCAAAGCCCTTCACTTGCTATGATTGAACAGTCTCTGTAGGAAGACAAGAAAATACAGCCAGTGAAATCACTTCATCCTGCTGAAATGGAAATATGTCAGGATCTCAAACACACAGCAAGTAGATAAAGAAAATTATGGGGAAGGAAGAAACAGTAAAAGACTTTCAATATCTATTTGGAGGAGTTGATGTTGCAAGTAGTAGTTTATCATACATCATGAGATCACATTTATTACGTGAATTTCATTTCCCTGAAGTACAAACAGAAATGCAATTATTGCTAGGTGCTATCAAGTCAACTATGATTCATTATCATCCATATTTTTAAAAATAGAATTATTTTCTATACAAAATAAAAGAAAGCAGGAAAAAGAATTCTTGTTTTAGAAGAGGAAAAAAGACCCACATATTTAAATATGTATACTACACCCACAGTGTGAAGGGAAAAATGGTTTTTAATATTGTTTTCCCTTTGCCACAATTTTCTCTATCTGTAAAAATGTAATCCTATGGAGCTATACTGGTGTAATCTCTAGGTTTTTTTATTGCTAACCAAAAGATTGCATGTCTGCTGGTTCAAATCCACCAGCTGTTCCAACGTAGAAAGATAGGACAATCTCTCAGATACAATTGACAGCCTTGGAACCCACTAGAAGCCAAGAGTCAGAAGCAGGTCCCTGAAGATCATCAATCCTACAGCGTTAAGAACTAGAGCTTTTTCCTAGCCCTTCAATGCCTACCCACTTGCCGTGCAGTTAATATTCTGAGAGAAAAATATTTTCTTACAATAGGAGGAAATATGTTTACCGTGGCAATAAAAACCAAGTTCTTCAAAAGTTATAATGTTATTGGAGTTAACATAAGTATTTTAGAGGCCAAGAAAAAAAAATTGTGGCTTATGGTGAAATCTTTCTGATTGTACATAATTCATCTTTTCTTTTTTAAACCAGTATCATTAATTTTGAGGCTATTTTTAAAGATGATTGAAAACCACTATATAGATAAATGCTTATATTAATTCCAAGATGTCTCTTCTAGTAACCATAAACATTAAGAGTATATATCATCTCAATATTAAGATTGGATAAATTCTTTTGGATAAAATAAAAATAGTAATCTGAGTATGTGTGCATGATACATTTAAATTGTTTTTTGTTGTTATGTGCCATCGAGTCGCCTGCAACTCATAGCGACACTATGTACAACAGCTCTAAACTCCGCTCTGTCCATGCACATTTAAATTACGCTAGATTAATATATCAATTGAAATAAAACATAAGACATCGTGAGACTCAGAGAGCTTGGTTAACAATTCTTTATAAAAGCTCTTTTCCTGCTTCCTAAGTATGCAATCAGAAGTCCAACATCTCTAAGTACTACTGAACATTCCAGGGGAGGAGAAGGAGATAGACTTTGCATTGAAAAATGACCTTCCACCTTCCAGGGCTTAATAGCTGTCTTACAGACATACATAGCTGACATCTGCACGCACATTAGTCCATGGACAAGAATGTAAAATATGTAATAGTCACTTACATATATGGTGTCTTGTTAAGTTGAAGCATCTTAAGAGTTTTTAGAAGACAAAATTATACGTACAATATTTTAACAGAAGCACATTAAATAAAAAGGAAACGGGTGAGAAATAAGAGCAGCTTACTCAGTGCTCTTAATCCCAGTATCTCTAGTTGTATTGCAAAACCGGTGTGACTGCAAGCAAGGCAAAAGGAATACTTTTTATTTTTTAATGAAAATAGAAGTGTTTAAGAAACACAGGCCCGTGCAAAGAAGGTGGTGACACTAGAGTCATCATCCAGCCATGCATGTGTCCCGCCACCCTCCTCCCAGCCAACAACAACATACGTTTAACAGGATCTTGGGGAAGAGGTTCCTGGGTAGTCTTGAGTAAACTTTGGGACACTATGGAAAAATAAGAAAATATAACTAAAAACAAAATAACAGAAACATAGGGATGAAGATGGAAACTCACACAGATTCCAGTGACAATGCCTCCAAAACAATTAACCAAAAAGCAAAAAGTCAATAAATTATAATGGAACCAAAACGAAATAGCCTGAATTTTGACTCCTCTAAAAAACGAAGGTAAATGTATAATCAAAGACACATCTGTACAAGAGATCAAGGTCTTTTCATGGTGGCTATTTTTAACTCTCATAGCACATCCAGCTAAGCAGTTAGGTCACTCCTTGAGGAGCTCTGGTGACCTAACTGCTTAACTCTGGTAAGGAGTTCACTGGCAATCCAAAAGTACACGGTTTGAATCCACCAGTGGCTCCACAGAAGAAAGATGGAGCATTTCCTCTCATGGGATTTACTGCCTCCGAAAACCTGCTGGAGGGTCAGTTCAGACGGTACAAAACAATAATACACAACTGTCACTGTTTAGTGTAAAGTATCGCCAATTCCCATTGGTCTGTTTCATAGATGCCTCCAGCATCTCTGTTTGTCCACTCAGCAGTCAAGCTCCAGCTCACAACTCAGGCTAGCTGTTGAGGCTGTCCTTGTCATTTACATTTATCCACCTTTCCAGCTTACCTTTGCCTTCTTGCTTTATTCTATAACCCATCTCCTTGACTAAGCACTGACTATCCTGCCCATTATACACCTATTAGAAGAATCTATCTCCACCAAGTGTCTTAGGAAAGTCTGTGCCATTACAGGTACCTCCTCAGTCTCCATCTGATCTGTGGACATCAGAGCTGGTTCATAGTTTAAGTAAATTCAAATGGATTAATATTAGGAAGGTGTGATCACTCGTAATTATTATTTTAAAAAGTAGTTCCTAATATCCTATTTTCTAGGATGGGAAGATGAGGGGAATGGCTGGATTCTGTGAAGGTGTGTTTTCTGGTCTGGAGTTTAGACTAGGGTGTGGCTCTTAGTCACAAAAAGGTGTGAACTGATTGGAGTTGGCCTCATATTTAAAAAGGCTTTTGGGCCCTTGGGCCTAGTTTTTGTGGACCTCCTGAATAAAACAAGTTTGGAAGCAGGAATGGCATCCACTTCCAAAAAAGCTTTCCTCTGGAAACTCTATGAACTTGGAGAAAAGATGAAAAATTTGCGTTCAAGACTCTCATTCATAGCGTCACTATGGATTGTCTATGACGCTATGGCACTAAACAACAAGTTCCTATTATATTCCAGAAAATAAAATGATCTCTGGAGAAAGGGGGAAACTGAAACTATCCAGAGTACCTTCTCAGACTCCATCTGATCTGTGGAAGTCAGATCTGGTTCACAGTTTTAGTCAATTCAAACTGATCAATATAAGGTGTGATCACTGATAATTACTTTTTAAAAAGAGTTCTCATTATGAAACAAACAATTTCAGAAAATACACCTATCACTGAAAAAAGAGGAGGAGGGGGGAAAAACCCTGTAAATATGCAGGAACTCTCTCATAGCAGCTAAAGCAGTAGCATCACTCTTAACAAGAGTATTTTGTTCCAGAGACTCCTGTAGTAGAATCCCCCATTGTGTTATGAGCTACCTGACCTAGTTAATTTCTTTGTTTGGAAGTGACAAAAGGAGCCTTTAAAAAAGAATCTGCACTCCTGCAATGAGAGCCAGATTAGAACCCCTTGGGGTTCCCAGTTCTCACACCTGTTCTCTGCACAAAACAGAAGGGGAATTATCTCACACCAGAGCCTGTCTTCCCATCAGCAGGCAAGCAGGAGACCAACAGGAACTTTTCTCTGAGATCCCACTTACATGCAGGGCTCCTTCACAACAGATATTTTGGCTGTGCAGCTCCTTTATTGCCCTATTTATTCCTATGATTGGGCTGTGTATTTCCTCGGAATCTTGGGCAGGAAACAATGGCTGTTTGGCCTCACCTGAACAAGCAGGCAAGAGAGAGTGCACAGAAATGCCAAATCAGACAATAGACAAGTCATGAGTTTAATTTATAATTTGGCAAAGTGAACAGTTATTTCTCGAGGACTTCAAAGTTCCTACTAATGAAAATGGCAAAACAATAAAAATAGGATCTGAATCTTAGAAGCCTCTTTTCAAGAGTAGAAAACCCAAGAATTTAGTGCTTTCTGAGACCTACTACAGTGCGCACTTTGGTCTCACACCTCGGTCATCAAGACAAAGGAGACGAGCAGCTTATGTTTGAAAGAAAATGCTTTGAAAATTATATTTCCTCTGTCTTCTATCACTGAAGGTTTCTAATGTTAAGAGTCTCCTACTACTTACTTCCAAAAGAAATGAAAACTTAACACTGAAAACATTGTGTGAAAGCTGAGGTACAGATGCTCAACCCACCCACCTTCAAACCACAGTATAAAGCCCCTATTAAGAAATCACTTCAAGGTTTCAATACATCAATACAGCTTGCCAATGAATGAACTTAGGTGTCATCAGCCAGGCTCCCAGCAGAAAGGCTGATCTGCATATGGAGTGCACATGCACAGACGTGGACCCAGACATACAAGGACACACATGTAGGTACACATTAGCAAAAATGGCTGCAGAAGACAAAACAGCAAACCCAGCTTTGTTTCCAGAGAAAGCACCCAGAGTACAGATTGCAAGATATGTCTACCAAGGCTAGTGAAGAACACACTGGTGGCCATGCCTTATTAGAAAAAGACAGAGATGGATGCTCATGGCTAACAGACTGCAGAGACTCGGGGCAATTAGAGGAGTGGACAGAAATGCAGTTAGTTGTAGCAAATAGGCCCATCCAGACCCCAGACCCAGGAAAATCAATTGGTTACAAAGAGCAGAATCAGTGGCGAGAGAGACGAAGGGTGGCCAGGCTGGAGGAAGGTCCACTTACTGACGCTGCCACAGACCGCCATGCAGTACTCCTCAGTGTCAAAGTTGTTTCGGTTGCCTCCACATCCGCCGTAAAAGAATGGGGCACACTTCCCTTCAGTCACATCAAAGTACCAGCGGGAGATCATTGCTCGGCATGGCCCCGTCTTGGCTTGTTCTGAGCACACCTCTAATCAGAGGAGATGTGGGGAACCACATTTAGCATGAAAAAGGCACTGTCTGGCTGTTCATGTACACATGTACATACATGTCTACTTTTCTTATGGCATTAACTGTCCCAGTGGTAACTTGGGCTGTCTTTACTAGGCAGCAACCACTAAACATTTATTGAAGAATTTAATTACCCATCAAGACTTTTAAATTCCATTTGAAACAAAACAATGCACTCTCATCAATGAATGCTGGTCTTAGCAGTAATAAAAGGATTTGCTCTGGTGTAAACAAAATCTTTCAGCTATTTTTAGTTTAATACTAAATGACAGAAGGTGTTTACACATAAAAATATTTCTTCACCTAAAAAAAAAAAACCAACCCACCCCAAAACTATTTTGACATTTCAATAATTTCAGATCAACTTTAAGGAAAAAAAGATTATTTTGATTGTGATGCAAAAATTTAATCTCTCAATTACATTTGATTGCTTTTTTCTTAATAAATTACTGTCTTTAGTGCAACAATGAATGAATGGAAACCCAAAATCTCTGTAAATGTTTATGAAAATTAATAAAATATAATTATAGAAAAAAAATAAAAAATTACTGTCTTAACTCAAGTATAAATTAATTTTATTTTAATATGATCCACTTATATTGTGAAGAGAGCCTGAATATAATAGATCTGAATCCATATGCAATGTGTGACTATTACAAGTCTATTTATAGTAACTCTAGTTCGATGTAAATTTAAAGTAGAAGACATCTTACCTGTCATCATGCCTTGCCACTCTAAATCTTAACGATCAGTTTTATAATCTCTACTCAATTTGAAGGGAGCCCTGGTGGTTTGTTCTGCAGGGAGTTGCACTGCTAAGCCAAGGCAAACCTATCTGGTGGTTTGAATCCATCATCAGCTCTTCAGGAGAAAGATGAACAATATCCTTCTGTGCAATTGACAGCTTAAAGACATGCTGGGGGGGGGGGGGTTACCTACAAGTTGGTTCTAATCCAACAGCATGGAGAATAAGAACTAATTTAAAGCACACTTCCACTTGTAAGGTATATACTTAGACTTAGAGCTCTCCCTCCCTTGTAGGTCCCATATTTGTTGGAAGTGAACCAGCAGCTTCAATCCTCTGTATGGCTTTATGCTCTGCCCTGGCTTAGTCTTTGGGGAGCCGGGGGAAGCCTGGCACACTCAGATGTCTCCCTTAATTTTGGATTTCATAACACACTAGGAGGAAGCATTCTTCTAACCAAGATATAAACCATGCATAATGCAGAGCTTCCAAATTAGGAATCTTCAACAGATTGATCCTAATCTGAAACTCAAGGACAGTAATCTACAACAATAATATAAAAAGACATTACCATTTTATTCATTACCCACAGCCTCCACATGTACATTAATCATCGCCCTTTCCAACTAAGGCAAAAAAATAGTGGCGTAAATAATCAGAAATTGCCACCACCACCACTATCATCATCATATCAACAGAGGTTGTTGTTGTTATGTGCCGTCGAGTCGCCTGTGACTCATAGCGACCCTTTGTACAACAGCCCTAAACTCCGCTCTGTCCTGTGCCAATCGCACTGTCTCTGACACTCCCATCCCAATTAT